CCGGAGCCCTCGCTACCTGCGTGTGACTCCTAGATGCCTGCGCATCTCAGGGCCTGCGGGAGGGGCGTAAGCAGTCAGGGAAATTTTGTGGCTGGCTCTTTATTTAGATGCAACTGGGCTGAACCAGAACCACGGACTTCTTTCTGTAGCTTCCCTCCCAGGCCCTCCTCCCAGTGGCCTCAATGGTACCATCACTCATGGGTATCTTGGCCTGAGTGCTCAGAATTCCTTCTGCTCTTTGACTCTCCCTGCCGCAGGGTCCTACCGATCGACTTCCGCAGGCTCTCATCGGTTTTTCTCTCTCTGCCTTTGCGTACAGGCCTCGCCTCTCCTTTCCCCACTGCCTCATCCACGCCAGGGTCGCCCTTTCTGACGTCCTGGATTCCAGTTTTTCTTTGCACGAAGGAATCATCTTTTGAGCTCCGGGGTTTGCTTTCTTGAGATACCACTTTTACTAAAACAATTCTCTTTTTCTTAAAAATCTCGCTGTGTCTTCCGTGCCTCTGATTATTCCCACAGGAGAGCGATCGCGTGGGACACCCAGCCATGTGACAGACAACATTTGGACAGGGCGTCCTCCGGTTTTATAAGCCGGGCGTGAAGGCCGTTGGCAGGTTGCTGGATAGGAAGAGAGTGTTTACAAAGCCCCCAGTGTTTTATACCCCAGGGGGAGAAGCCTGAAGCCTTCCTGCTATAAAAAGGTAAATATGCTCAGTTGTGCTGAGTTTGTCTTTAATTTTATTTGTTCCATTTTATTTTATTTTTAAAAGTTCTTCCTTCCTTTAAGGAAATAGCTCCTACAAATACAGGATATTATAGCTATTTTTCATCCCGTGCTTCCTGAAATTTGAGGCTTTCGGCCAAGAGCCATACAATGCTGACTAATAAAAATGTCTTGACAGATATGGATCAGCTGTGCAAGAGCCTCCCAATTTGTAAGCTTGTGCCGGCACAAACTAATTGAATTGCTTTAGTTAGTTACATGTCATCAAAAAGATATGGGCTTAGAGGAAAGTGTATTTCGCAGAATAAGATGAAGCATTGAGGGACATCCGTTCTGTCATTCTTTAGATGTATCTGTGCCACTGTCGAAAGCAAATTGAAGTCAGTTTAAAGGAGGCCCATCATAGCAAAGAATGCTCTCGAAACTTCAAAGAGCTGTTTAGAAAACATATTAAGATCAAACTCTGCTTCTGGGAACCTGAAGTGTTTTCAGTCTGCTGCCTTTGATAAGTCCAGGTTTAAGGTGGATGTCATTAACACGACATAAAAAGAAGGTATTTGGGGGTGCTGATTTTTCTTCAACGATTCTTTCCTTGCACAAATCCTATTCAGAGAAATAGCAAATCTTCAGACCATGAAGTAAAGCATGGGTTGAAAATGTCCAGCTACTCTGAGGATATGACATTTACTAAAATGCTTCCAAAGTAGAGGAAAATCTAACAGATATTCAACAGTGAGGGGACATTGGGTGTTGTGTTCAGATTAGTTTTAAAATTCTATTTAAATAAAGTTCACCCCAGGCAAAGATCATTTATTTGGAAGCTACTGGAATATTTCAGCATCAGTTATGTGTGCCAGTGGCTTATACCCAAACCTTCAACATCACACCAACCCTAAGGCATTCAAATCAGAGAAGTCACATCATTGGGCTAATATCATGCAGTAGGAAGAGAAACCTGACATCTCACTGAGGTCTTTAAATTCCAAGTTCAGGTTTGTTACACAACATTCAACTGCTACTCTAGAGATAACAGATTTTGATTTATTTTAAAGAGCTACAAAGACCTTTCACTTAGTGTTGAACACATATAAAAGGATAACATTTATAATGACTTAGCTTGTTTAATGCAAAATCCCTGTGATTCACTTTGACAATGGCAGCTGTATTGTCTCAGAAGAGAGACTGGTCCTATGAGAAGAAGGAACATCGGGCAATGTCTGTGTGAGAGACAGTTCAAGGGATTCCACAGGAGGCTCTAATGTCTCCTCTCCGCCAGCAACTCTTTCTCTCCCAAGTCGTTTCCCTATAATATTTTGAAATCCCATCATTTTAAATGTATTGCTTCGGAGAATCATGTTGCTAACGTTAACACTTTCCCCAGGTTTGGTGCTCACTCAATTACAGTGACATAGAGGTCAGCTTATGTTCCCACTTGGATGGATTGACTGTGTCTGCTTGGAGCTTCGTGATGGGTGGAATTCTGGAGTCACTTCTAGGTTCCATAGGCTCAGTGATCAATATCAGTTAAGGGAGGGGGCAGTAGTGCTAGTTCAACAGTAGTAGCAGTTAAGTAAAAACAGATTTTACTTATCATAGCTATACTAAGCTATGCACTCACTAACACCTCAGTGTGAATTTGTCTGATAACTTTCTTAATATTAGAAAAGGAGAGACGGGAGAGAGAGATAATTCTGGAGCTAGTGCTTGGCTAACTATATGTTATTGTATATACCAAAGCACTTTTGAGAGCAAAAAGGGGTCTATTAACAAAATTCCATGACAATATATAATTGTGACAGGGTGGTGTGGTCATCTTGGCTCTGGGGAAAGATGGTCCCTCACTGACAAATATATCTATTAAGGAGTTCCTCTTTCAAATAAGTCCATCATCGACTCCTTCCTGAGGCTATGGCTTTTGCATAGCTATGAGTTCCAGTGATCATATTTCTCCAACAGCGAAGAGAAACTAAAGCAATTGCACCTGGGTAGGATCCCTGAAAGCCTTAGAGATTCACTATGAGACACATGAAAGAAATAAAGTCAGTTTGCAATTTCTTCAGCGGCTGATTATCCAACTAATGCATTATCTTCTGGACCCTGTTTTATTTCTTCCACCATTAATTGAATAAAATGTCAGTATTGATAAGAAGATTTGATGGGGAAGAAAATGAAGCTATTACATGAAATGAGTTTGGGGAATTACCAATGGATTTCAATTATTCATGTTACTCTTACTGAAAGTGATCGACTGTGAAGAGTGGTGATTCCGCTGGGCAAGCTTGCTATTTCTAAAACATAGCTGTCCTGTTCCTTTGGCCTCTTTGTACAGAACATACATTGTATGTGCATTTATGAACACATAGATCCTCATTTCCCCAGTCCCATTATCTGCGATTAACAAGATTTTAAAAACAATTGATCCATGATCATTTAAATCAGCTTACACTAATAAAATAAGGGCATTAAATCATTCAATAGTCAGTGCCTTTTTATTGAGGGTCTATGTTCTAGATACAGAGAAGAAAACATTGTTGAGCTACTGTTCTGAAGGGAAGAAAAACTATTAAAACCCAGATGGTACATGATGAATTGCACATATGCCTACTAAACTGTCTTTAAATGCAATTATTATGTAAGCCTAAGAGACTATTTAAAATGAAAGGAATGCACTATGAAATTAAAACAAGACATTACCAGTACACAAAGGTGTTGATTTTGTGGTAGACCTTTCTAAATTTGATTGGATATTCTTGTTACTCATTGAAATGTTAATCATACTCCAAAGTCCAAATTAAAATATATATACATAATATACATCATGTACATATAGACAATATGTTTAGTAACCAAATTTGTCTTCATTCACACAAAGTATTTTTTATAATTTAATTTTTGTGTGGTTTCCTCTAACTATAGATGAGAAGAAACATGTTTTCCTCTGGATTTCAGCATCAAGTTAGTGCGTACATCATTGGCTGGAGAATTGGTCATTTTGTTTTAAGTTTCTGGGCCTTAAGTTGATTGGCTAAAAAAATGAAGTCATTAAATTATATAATTTTATGTTGTTCAAATGACAACTTTCTGCAAATGTTCACAGCAGGATTTGTTTATCAGTTTTTTAAAAAAATTATTAAACTTACTAGGGTGGAATTGCTTAATGAAATTATATAGGTTTTAAGTGTACAATTCTATAATACATCATCTGTATTTTGTATTGTGTGCTCACCACCCAAAGCCGAGATCCCTTCTATCACTGTTTATCTCCCTTTACCGTCTTCTGCCTCTCCTACCTGCTTTCCCTCTGGTAATCACCACACTGTTGTTTGCTTGTTTTTTTCTTACTCCTGTCACCTTTTCTTCCATCCCCCCACTTTCCCTCCCCTCTGACAGCTGTCAGTCTGTTCTCTGTGTTCTCTGTATCTATAAGTCTGTTTCTATTTTTCTTGTTAGTTCCATTTATTCATTAGATTGCACATAGGTAAAATCTCATGATAATTGTCTTCCTCTGACTGACTGACATCACTTAGCATAATACTCTCCAGGTCTACCCACTGTTGCAAAAATTTATAGCCTAAGAGGTGCAATTTTTTTCAATCACCTGAGGACATGCTCATTGATTTCAGAGAGAGGGGGAGGGAGGGAGTGAGGGAGGATGGGATAAAGTGAGGGAAACTTCAGTTGGTTGCCTCTCACATGCAACTCAACTGTCAACTGTCTGGGGATCAAATCCACAGCCTAGGTGTGCACCCTGATTGGGAATCGAACCTGCTACCTTTTGGATGATGCTCCAACCAACTGAGCCATACCAAGCAGGGCTAGGAGGTGTAAATTTGTTTCTCCTAATAAATAAGCCCAGTACACCCTTCTCTTTAAGGAAACATCAAAAGGAGAATAGCCATGGATTTTTCTTAGATACAGACTTAGAAGTCAAATATTATAAGGTGAGCCATTCAGAGCCTGTGGAGACTTTTCTGAATGGAGATCCAAGAAGCTGTTCCCCGTGGCTGAGTGTGGGAAGGGGAACTGAGAGGAGGTTGGAATTGAGATGTTGTGGCCTTGGAGGCTTACCATTTCCAAGTCACATCTTCCTGAGTTTCTTGAGTTTTCTGATCATTTCGATGAATTGATTTTTAAATGTCATTAGGGGCTTTTGCAAATAAATTATGGGCTATTCTGTTGTTTGTCATTTCTGCTTTGGGAGAAATGCTTGCAAAGTCAAGCTAAACTAGTGTTCAAGTTCAAGCGGGGAGAGGAAGGTGGCGTTGGGCAAGGTTACCTTCTTACAGGCCGTGACGGAGCTCCCCAGGCTGCTCCCCGAGCTGCTGGCGCCGCCCTGCTGGGCTGCCGGAGCCTCACACATCAGTGGTGACTCCAAGTTGCTGTTTGTGCCCAAAATACAAAAGAGAACACATTATTCCAGTGAGCCACCTCTGTAGTCAGACAGGGAGAAACACGATGGGGCTTATCCAGAATCATCTTTTCAGATTGGCTGACCACTGCAAATCCTCCTGCTGACTTTTCTGTGTTGGCGACATGTTTGTAATTGGGGGATCACTGTGAACTATTCCACTGTGAACTTTGCACTGCAACCCAGGGCTTAGGTGGATGCAATGCATCGGTCTGACTTCTGGTTCTGGTAACATCTTTTCTTTTTTCAAATTTTTATTATTTTAAATTTTATCTTCCAATTACAGTCGACATTGAATTGTGTTATTTTGTGTTAGTTTCAGGTATGCAGAATAGCCGTTAGACAATCATCTATAATATTTTATAAAGTATTCCCCCTGATATTTCCAGTACCCATCTGACTCTACATAAAGTTATTGCAATGTTATTGACTACATTTCCTATGCTGTACTTTACATCCCAAGACTGTTTTGTAATAACCAATTTGTACTTCTTAATGCCTTTGCCCTTTTCACCCATCCCAACTCCCCGCGCTTCTGGCAACCGCCGGTCTGTTTGCTGTATCTATGAGTCTGTTTCTAGTTTTGTTAACACCTTTTTTTAAGCAAGAGGTTTTAAAACTCAAATAATGTCTTTCCATCTTTATTCATTTTATTTATATTTTAAATGAGGGAAAAATGTAATTTTCATGAGAAGGCAGGGTGGTGCCATGAAAATAGCATGAACTTTCAAAAACACATAAAAAAAGAGATAATCTCTCTTTTTTTAAATTGAAATATATTTGACGTGTAACATTGTGTAAATTTAAGGTGTATGGCATGTTAATTATACCAACCACTAAAAAGAGATGATCATTATGTAATCAGGTCCCCTCTCTATCGACTTGTGGCTGGAGGCAGGGCAGTATCTTAGGTTCTCTGCCTCCAAAATTTTAGACTTTATATCTCTTTTCCTTATCTCTGTCCAATCTGGGTGGGTTTGACTACATACAGGTCTGTATCAGTACTTTGAAAGGTTTAAAATTATTTCTGCACACTCAAGATGTGATAAAAATTCAAATTGTTACCAATCCTGCTTCTCATGATTTGACTGGAGATTTTAAGTGAGTACAATTTAAATACAAAAATCCCTCTGAATCTTCAGGAATTCTAAATATTTCTCTCCTAAAAATAAAATTTGGAATAAAAAAAGTACTGATATATCAAGTCTACATATTTTATTTTTTTGACATTCACCACATGGAACATGTACAATTCATTAACATACATTTTTTTTAGGATTTCCTTCTTTTCTTTTTAAATGTAGATGATTCTATTTATCTTTTTAAGTCTCAAAATCCATTATAAAATATTAAAAAATGTAAATCCATTATAAAGCCTCAGCAATTGAAACAATATGATACCAGCACAGAAATAATCAAGCAGATCAACAAAATAAAATGAGCTTTCTAGAAACAAATGTATATAGCTGTCTAACAAATGTAATATATGATTAAATTGATATTTCAAATCAATGGGGAACATAAGGCTTATTCAACAAATAAGGTGCATGGACCACTATCACTTGAAAAACAAAAAAACAAATACAGAGCCCTATTTCACATATTATACAAAAAACAATCAGGTGAGTTAAAAATCAATATGTAAAATCTAAGGAGTTTTAGGAGGAAATACAAACTACTGTTTTTCTTACCCTGAAGTAAAATATTCAAACCCAGAAGCTATAAAGTAAAATATTGACAATATGACTATATTAAACATTTAAGACTATACAGTAATATACATATAAAAAAGTTAAAGGACAAGTAATAGTGTAGGAAAGTATTTGCAACACATCTAAAACAGGGTTAATAGATTTTTTTTTTTTAGGGAAAAAGTTCTACAAACATTTAATCAAAAAATGGATAAAGAATACCAAAAAGTCATTTAAAGCTTTTTAAAAATAATAGAAATAGGCAAGAAATATACAAAAACAGGTTTAGTTTCAACAAATAGTAAAGTAACAACACATCATTGTCACAATCTGATTAATAAGTACTAAAAATATTGGTAATATCAAGTATTGGTGACTGTGAAAGGAACTGGGTATTCATACTCTTTTTCTTCATCTTCTTAAAGCAGTTCCTTTTGCATATCTTGCAATGCTGGTTTGGTGGAGGTGTATTCTTTTAGCCTTCCTTTGTCTGGGAAACTCCTTATTTCACCTTCCATTTGAATTGAGAGCCTTGCTGGGTACAGCAGTCTTAGTTGCAGGCCTTTGCTTTTCATGACTTGGACTATTGCTTGCCACTCCCTTCAGGCTTGCAGTGTTTCTGTTGAGAAGTCATCTGCTAGGCATACTTGGGCTCCCTTATGTGTTACTACCTCTTTCTCCCTTGCTTCCTTTAGGATTCTGTTTGTCTTTGATATTTGCCATTTTAATTACAGTGTGTCTTGGAGTGGGTCTCATTGGGTTCCTCTTGAACTGGACCCTTTGTGCTTCCTGGACTTGTGTGACTTTTTCTCTCCTCCAATTAGGGAAATTTTCCATCATTACTTTTTCAAACAGGTCCTCTATCCCTTCCTTCTCTTCTTCTCCTTCTGATATCCCTGTTATATGGATATTATTACATTTCATGTTGTCCTGCATTCCCCTAAATGCCTCTTCATTCTTTTTGAGTCTTTTTTTTAATCATTTTCTTGCTCTTTCCGGGAGCTTTTTTCTAGCTTATCCTCCAGCTCACTGATTCGATCCCCTGCTTCATCTAGCCTGTTTTTGATTTCTTCTACTGTGTTCTTCAATCCAGAAATTATATTCTTCATTTCCTCTTCTCTCTTATTGATAGTTTCTATTCCTTTTTCATGCTGATATAGTTTTCAGTAAGTTCCTCATAGTTTCCCTGTAGTGTTTTGTAATTTTCTCTGAGCTCACTGAGTTCATTGAGCTTCCTTAAAACTATTGTTTTGAACTCAATATCTGATGGTTTACTTGCTTCTATTTCATTTAGTTCTCTCTCTGGGGATTCTTCCTTTCCCTTTGATTGGGGGGTATTTGTTTGTCCTCCCATTTTTTGTGAGACTCTTTTTTTTTTTTGCTTCTGCTTCTTAAATTGATCTACCTTGACTTCCTGACTTTGTGAACTTCTATGGTAGGGGACCGCTATTGTTTTCTTTCTGGATCTGATGTCAGCTGTTGATCCTGTCTGACCTTAGGCAGTCTGTTGGAGACTTCCAGGAATCTACTGCCTGTGGCTGTCTCCTTCAGCGGTTAATCTAGTTACTCTGCACTCAGCAATTAGGTTTAGGCACCACAGGGCAGGGCAGAGTCCCTCCTGCAGGCAGGGTTATTGGGTCCTCTCATGCTGAAGACGCTCAAGGGAGTGGTCTCCCTGAGCAAGATGGCTGCTGCCGCCAGTGGATGAGTCAGCACTGGATCCTGCCGGCTACTCTCTCAGTTCTCTCCCCAAAGCCTCCTTTCGCAGTCTCTCCTCAGGAGTCTCCAGCCCACTCTGCCCCCGCCTTTGCCAGATACCAGGGTAAGTGGCTACAAATAAAAACTTATGCATTGGCCCTCTAAATGGCTCTTTGCATCTCCAGGAGCCCATCTCTGGCAGAGGGCAACCCTGTCACTTTTCGCAGCTGGCTGGTATTTCTGTACTTTTTGGGCTCTGGTGCTATAGGCTGGGGATCCCCACTTATGGTTTAGGCCTCGCTCTTCTCAGGGGAATCCAACTGGCCGTTTCAATATCCTTCTGGTACTGCTGCCCGTGGGTGCCTCTCCCACCTTCTCGAGTCTCTACTGCACTCCTTACCAGTTAGGTTGTGCTAAAGCTGATTCTTCTGTCTGTCTGAGGTTATAAGGCTCCTCTTTCACTATTGTTCAGCTGTTGTTCCAGGTGATTTCTCCCCAATTTAGTTGTAATTCCAGATTGATTCTGGGAGGAGGTCAGTGTGACTTCCACTCATTCCTCTGCCATCTTGCTTCTCTCCCATCATTTTTGAAATATGATCTAATGAATCCTTATATAATTATCAACCCAACATATAGAATTTTTTCTTAAAATAAGCACCAAAAACATTGGTTAAACAAGCAATGTATTTATTATATATAATTGTCATGATTTAAGATCTCAATTAGTCAATTTTTATTACTTTGTAATTAATTAGCCATAAGTCAAATAGTGCATGAATGTAATCTCTTAGTATTTCCATTATTAATTACTATGAATAACTTTTTAACAGTGACTGCTAATGGTGCTATGTAACAGATCATCAACTCAGGTAAAAATTGGACAGAAGAATTCAAGAAAAATCTGTTGTGTTTTAAATTTTTACATATTATTTTCTGAGGAACTGCCACATTGAGAACTAAAATAAGCCTAATTTAAATTAAAGGGTATTACTTATGTTGTTACCTTTGCTTAGCTGAGAAAAGAGAGAGGGAGCAAGTGAGGAAGGAAGACTGCTAGCTTTTCTGGGTCTGTCTCTTCATTTATAAATGAAATACTTGGAGTAAAGTATGTGGTGCTTTCTAGCTCAAGAAATCACTTGCAAAATATCATGGAGGGCCTGAGTTTTCCGCTGTGGTTTTACAGATTTCTCACAAAATGGGACTGATAGCATTTTAAGCTGCCATTTAAGTGTGTCTGTAACTTAAGTGTAACTGTGGATGACCTTCTGAATGTTTTTTGGCCATAAGACAGCTTGGCTTTTACCCAAACACCAAACATGTTCCAAATCATATACACAAAAAAGATAAGACCATAGACCAAGTTAACATTGGTCTGTAATAACTTAGCCTATGAGTTAAGGAAATCATATATTATTTCTTCCAGGTGTCAGCTCAGCCCCTGTGTGCAGGAGGTCAGGGAGACAAGCTGAAGAGTCCATACCATATGTGTTTTGTTCCTATTCATCAGTTTTTGTTACTAGCCAGCTCTGTTGCCTAGGCAGCTCTGATGATCTAATGAAGAACTCCCATCCCAGGACTTAGG